AAAAATAAGAAAAGAATGGGTCCTACCAAAATCTTTTTGTGACACAAATGTGATCTTGATACCTAAATATAATCATAACAGAGCAAGAAAACTATAGGCCAATATCTCTAATGAACATTGATGTAAACATTTTAAATAAAAGTATTAGGATGGTAACTATAGCAATATATCACAAAGATTATACAATATAACCAAAATGAATTTTTATCAAGACTGCTGGCCAGTTCTATATTAAGAAAACTACAAACATAGTTGACCATACTAATGATGATATTAGCCAAACAGCACATTTTCTATATCAATATCAATAGATTCAGAAAGAAAAGAAAAAAAAAGCTTTTGACATGATATAATACCCATTCCAGTTAAAAACTCTAGAAAGCATAGGGACAAGTAGAGCTTTGATTAATATAAGTAGTATCTCTCTAAAACCAAGTGTTATTAATCTCTGTTTCTGGGGCTAAACTAACAGGCCTTTCCAGTGCGATCAGGGGTAAATAAAGGATATCCATTATCACCATTACTATTCAGTGTACCACTAGAAATGTTAGCTATAGGAGTAAGACAAGAGAAAGGAATTGAAAGAATAATCATAGACAAAGAAGAAACAATATTATTATTGCTTTTTGCCAATATGATGGTTTACTTAGTCCTCGAGTCAGTTAAAACTTTAATAGAAACAATTAACAGCCTCAGCAAAGTTGCAAGATATAAAAGGAATCCCATGAATCAATAGCATTTTTATATATTACCAACAAAATCCATCAGAAAGAGATAAATTCCATTTAAAATAATTGTAGATAGTTTAAGATATTTGAGCGTCTGTCTGCCAAGATACACACAAGAATTAGATGAACATAATTACAAAACACTCCTTACATAAATAAAAATAGATCTAAATAACTGGAGAAATATTAATTGCTTATGAGTAGGCCAAGACAATATAGCAAAAATTACAATGCCACCTAAATTAATTTACTTATTCTGTGCCAGACCAACAAAACTATTGAAAGATTACTTTCAAGAACTAGAAAAAAAAATAACAATTTGTCTGGAGTAGAGATGTCAGATGTTGTATACCACAACATGCCTGAATGCAGCCTGAACCAGATTAAAATACAACTGGGAACTTGAACAAAATAAGTAAAAATATAAATTGAACATAGATGTAATGTTAATATGTGGTTTTCTAAGTCAAAATGCAACCTGCTGGAATCTGTACCCCTATTCTATTTGAGTTTGACACCACTGATCTGGGGGGGGGAAGGTCACGAATAAAAAGGGAATTTTAAAAGTAGAAAGCGCCTGACCTCAAACTATACTAAAAAGTTGTAATCATCAAAACAATTTGGCAAGAAATAGGTTGTTTAGTGGAATAGGTATCAGCTACACAGTATATAGAAGTAAATGAGCAGATAACCTGATGTTTATAAATCCAAAGATCCCAGCTATTAGAGCAAGAACTCACTATTTGACAAAAACTGTTGGGAAAACTGAGAAGCAATCTAACAGAAATTAGGCATAGATCAACATCTCACACATTCTACCAAAACTAGTTCCAAATGGGTACATGATTTATTCATAAAGAGTAACAACATAAACAAATTGGAGAGCATAAAAGAAAATACCTGTCAGAGATATTATACATACATACATACATACATACATACATACATACACACACACATCCATATAATAAGAGTTCATAACTCATAGAATTTTACAAGAGGTGAACTGGAGAGTTTTGATCATGTAAAATTAAGAAGTTTGTGCACAAGCAAAACCAATGCAGTTAAAAATAGAAGAAAAGCAGAGAATGGGGGGGGAGCGGGGTGGAATCTTTGCATTGTGTCTCTTTTAAAGACCTTTTTTCTGAGCTATATAGGGAACTAATTCAAATTTGTAAGAATAAGAGCCATTCCCCAATTGATAAACAGTCAAATTTATCAAATACAAATAGAGGATTTTCAGTAGAAGACATCCAAGTTATCAATAGTCATATGAAAAAATGCTCTAAATCACTAATAATTAGAGAAATGCAAATTAAAACAACTCTGAGGTAACACTTCATATTCCTCAGTCTGGCAAAGTTGACAAAAATGGAAAAGGAGGTAGAGGTTGTGGGAAAGCAGGCACATTAATACACTGTTGGTAGATCTGTGAACTAGCCCATTCATTCTGGACACCAATTTGGAGTAATGCCCACAGAGCTCTAATGCTATGAGGTCTATACCTCAAAGAGATTTTTTTAAAAGGAAAAAGACTCATTTGTACAAAAACAAATTATAGCAGCAGTTTTTACATTGAAAAAGAATTGGAAACCGGGGTGGGGAGAGGGAATCAATTGGGGAATGGCTGGACATGTTTATAGTGTAAAAATGTGATAGAATACTATTGTGCTATAGAAATTGATGGAAAATGAAGTAAGCAGAACCAGAAGAACAATTTATGCAATTGCAACAGTATTATAAAGATACACAGCCTTGAAAGACTTAGGAATGCTGATCAACACAGTAAACAACGACAATTCCAAAAGACTCATGATGAAGCATGTTACTCAGTTTCAGATAGAGTACAGAGTACAGATTGAGGCTTTTCTTTCCCTTTTTTTTTTTGGACATGGCAATGCAGAATTTGTTTTGCTTGACAGTACATTTTAGAATAGCTTTTATTTGGGGGCAGCTAGGTGGCACAGTGGATAGAGCACTGGCCCTGGATTCAGGAGGACCTGAGTTCAAATGCAGCCTCAGACACATAAGACTTACTAGCTGTGTGACCCTGGACAGGTCACTTAACCCCATTGCCTACCCCCCCCAAAAAAAGAATAGCTTTTATTTTTCTTGCTTTCCAATGGGATGGGGGTGGGAAGGAAGGAAAGAATGAAGACCTGCCAATAAAAAAAAAAAAGAAACTGGAAAGGCAGATATTCTTTTAGTTCCAGTTATAGAGGAGATCCCATATATAAGCCACATTCATCCAGGAAAAGAATGTTAACTTTAGTGCTACAAACATTGAAAGCTAGAGCTATCAGCTTTGGGAAATGGAGACAGAGAAGGAGGTCACACTAGTCCCCACAGTTAATAACCATGACCTTATCAGCCTTTCCTAATGACTTTTTTCCAACAGGACTTTATACAGAGGTGACAGTGAAAATGACAACTGTAGGCAGTATATTGCTGTTAAACAGTAGAGCATAAGTAATTAACATGTTCACATGAGGTAAATAAAAAAGGTGAATTTGAGAAACATTTGAAGAAATGTTGAATGTTCTTGAACTTTTTGACTTTCGAGGCCTAAATTTAAAAAAAAAAACTATTTCCAGGATACTTTGAAGTAACTTTAGAATTCCTTAAAGATGTTACTGGTGTCAACAAAACAGTATATGTTCTTTCAGTGATCAGCCCATACTCACCCAGCACAGATCTTTGATTAGAATCAATTCCAGTCTGTTTGATACTAGAATCATTTAAACAGGCTGAAACTTCCCCTGCATCTTGAGTTATCTGTGCAGCTTATTTGGAAGCATACAGGATAGTGTGAAGCATAGTGTCACAGTGAAGAGCATAAGAGTCCTGGCCCTTAAATTTCTGAAGTAGAACCAGTAAAATTTAATTTGGGTTTCCTCAGTGCCAGAGGAGTAGAAAGGAATGGTTGAGACAGAAGTTTAGCAAAAGTACAAATATATTTTCAGTGCATGAGTGGGATGTGGGATGTGCCTAACGAATTACTCATAGGATCCAACTCACTGACTCATAACCTTTCTGGGAAAGAACTAGAAAAATTCCTTTGTGATGAATGATAGTAGAGAACATCTCAAGAATCTGTTGATGAAATGGCGTCATTACATGGATGAGCCCATACATGTCACTCATAGTGAGGGTTCTCAAGAAGAATGAAAAAATACATATTATGTTGACTACCATGCCTTAAACAAAAGAACCAAAGTATGTTGTTTCATATACCAAGGCTAATGATGCCCTGTGTTGTTTGTTAGAAAGCTAGTGGTTTTCAGTATTGGACCTGCACAGTGGCTACTATCAGATCCCTATGGTAGAGCAAGACAAGGAGGTTGCTTTCATCTACCTAGTTGGATTTTTGCCAGTTTGAGTGCATGTCCCAAAGCATGTTAGGGGAACTTGCTACTTTCCAAACACTTAAAGAAGAAAGTAAATAGAGACATGAACTATCTGCAAATGTCACTATACCTTGATGACATCATTGTCTTTGAGAGGACTTTGAAAGAACATGAGTAAAGTGTTGGATCAAGAAGAGGAAAATGGCTTAAAACTTTCCATTAACAAAAGCCAATTTTGTAAAGCCTCTGCAGAATATGTGGCTTACATTATATATCAACAAAAATGAGCACTGACCCTGAAAAAATGAAAGTATTTATAACCTGACCATGTATGAAGAATCAAAGAATTAAGGAATTTTTAGGGTTTGGTGGTTATTACTAAAACTTTGTTGTTGTTTTTTAAAACAATACTGCTATTGCTAAGCCACTGAATGACCACAAACATTTATAATTCAGGAGGCACAGAAACAGACAAACAAGAGACACAAAACTGCCTTTAAATTAATAAAACCTTTCAGAGACTGGTGAATAACCAGATATGAACAAGGTTTCAAAGACTTGGGTAGCTTCTTCATACAATAACTAGTGTTGGCCTGTGCTTACTTAAACAAGCCTTTTGTCCTGTATGTAAATACAAGTTTGGAGGGATTGGGGGCAATGTTGTACTAAGAGAGTCATGGTTATATGAAACTAGTTGCATTTACCAGCAAAGGTCTCACTGACAGACCTGTTACCTCATTCACACAGTGGATGTCTTCACATTGAAGTAGGTGGTTAGCTGAGAAATTCAAATGGCTGAAAGTTACCTAGATAATAATGTACTGATTTATGTTCTAACCAATGCCAAATTGAATGCTATTTGTCAGAGATGGGTGATAAGGTTGGCCAACTAAGAATTCAACATCCATTATTAGCCAGGGAAGAATAAGGTATATGTAGATGCTCTGTCCAGTATTTAGTAAGCTAGCATTTATTAAGTGCTTACTATGTGCCACTAACTGTGTTAAGTCCAGAAGGCCACACGACACCAAAATTTACTTATTTATTTATTTTTTATTCCATGAATCAACCCATTTATTGTTGGACTATGCGCTACAGATATTTGATAAGAAGATTTTACTGGTCTTTCAATTCCTTCAGTCTTCTGATGGCAGATTTGACTGTGACTGCAGAGGTGGTATTGTAGGTCCATGTGCCACCAGCTACTGTCTTCATACAGGATCCACAATGCCAGATACCCACAGCCTGCCTCTTCATTTTGGTCTTTCCACAGAAAGAGCAGGTATACTTGGCATGCTGGCTAATTTCAATTTTCTTCACCATTTTTCTGAGAGATGCACATGTTCCATATTTACCAACAATTCCGACCTTCTTGGTACATTTAGCCATGTTGCCAGTTTCAGGGCCAGAGAGGAAAGAAGGCAGTGTGCCTGCCAACACCAAAATCTTGGTAATAAGGAATGTAATATCTCAGGAGCTGGAATACAAACACATGAAAGCTGAAAGTTTGGGACTTCCACCTGATAGCATACTAACAGAATATATGTACTTGATTTCATTCATTAAGTGAACCCTATTTACCTCATTTGTCTGTGGATGACTAGCAGAGAGAGTAGATGGCTAACAAAACATTGTGTGAGGTAATATAAGCTAAGAAGAAAGTGGTAAAGCTGATGGATTCAAGTTCCACTCTGTTGAAGGCACTTTGTTGTTGTTTGTCCTTCGTTTTTGAAGAGAACCATGACATCAGGAAGGTGATGCCATAACTTACAGGAGAATTGGATTTAAGTGAGGGAGGACTATCTCCTTCGGAGCCCATCTGGGTCCAGTGGCCAGATATAGATCAGGACACTGGAGATGGCCCCCTGAAGGCACTTTACTGTTCAGACAGTGTAGAAAAAGACTATACTAGACAGTCCCTGATCCTATATATGGTACCAAAAAGCATCTGGTACCACCCAGAGTATATAGCTTTGTGGTCATGAAAACATTACCAGTGACTTTAAACATATGGATAAAGAGAGAAACCATAGAGCTAGTAAAATAGATTTTCTGGCCCATGCTAGCCACAAATATTGAAGTATGAGACTTTGTGCTCCATGTGTGCAAAGTAGCACCAACTTAGGCTACGTATTTGGAGATTATTAGCACTAATAAAACTTTAGAACCTGTTTGCATTGATTTTCTATCTCTGGCAGGCAGTATCAAGAACACATCACATGTAGGTAGCAACTGACCACTTCCTGGCATATACACAGGAATACTCAGCCAGGAGACAAAGTTTCCACAGTTGCTAAAATATTGTGGGAGAAGCATTTCTCAATATGTGGATATCTTTCCAGGATCCATTAAAACCAAGGCAGAGACTTTTGAACATGCATTGTTCAGTGAAACATAAGCTTTGACTAACATTAAGAAGTCTAGAACAGCATTTACCAACCCACAAGGGGACTCATAACCTGAACATTTCAACTATATACTGATAAACATGTTAGGTATACTGAGACCAAAACAATAATCTCATTAGAGCAAATATGTGACTTTTCTGATGCATAAGTACAACTCTTATCAGTTGTGATACCCATGGATGTTACAGCCTATTTATTAAAGTTTGGATAGGAGAGCAAAAGGAGGACTGAGCTATGGTAGAAAAGGAATAATTCAAGGAAGGGTCACTGACTTTATATGTGTCTCCTGAGTGGGGGACCCAGGCTAAGAGGAGTCCTAAGGAAAAGTCAGCTTTTCTCCCAACTTCCCCTCCCAATATCTGTCTATCTATAGACCCTATAATAAAATCCACTACCTAAACATTTCCTGTAAACTGAATTTTGCCATAACCACAAAGAGGTCAAAGATTAACTAGAGATGGGTAAAAATGTAAAGTTAGTTAGCCTAAACCTTTCCTAAGTATTAGGAATATTCCTAACTGGGGGCTTAGAGTAAATATCTAAACTCAGAACTTTTTGTCTAAAATAAACTCCCTAAAGCTGAAAAAGAGGGAACCAAGTGCACTTTAGGGATAATTAAATTGCCCCTAGGCTGAAGACAAGTTAATTATTATAATAGTGTGTTATATGCAGAAACACAATCATTTGAGAAATAAAGGCTTCCTAATAATTTTTTTTTTACCCAGCATGAGAATATCATTTAACCTGAAATAATCAAGCAGGGGGCAACTAGGTGGCACAGGGGATAGAGCGCCAGTCCTGGAGTCAGGAGGACCTGAGTTCAAATATGGCCTCAGACACTTGATACTTACTAGCTGTGTGACCCTGGGCAAGTCACTTAACCCCAGTTGCCTCACCTTAAAAAAAAAAATTAATAATCAAGCATCAAGCAAACATGCATGCAAGTCTTAGTCACCTTTTAAGTTCCAGTTACTTTACTAAGCACAGCAAATACAAAGGCAAAAATGAAGTAATCCTTGTCTGCATGGATCTTTCATTCTATAATGAAACAACATACACAGGTATAAAGTATATACAAAATAAATACAAGTTATTTTTGGGTGGAGATGGAAGCACTAGCAACTGTGGGGTTTTCATGTAGACTTCATGTAGAATGGTACACAAGCTGAACATTGATGGAGACTAGGGATTCTGGAGTGAGCATTCCAAGTATTGGGAGACAGGAAATTCAAAGGCCTAAAATGAAATGTAGAGTGAACATCAAAAGGAGGCTTAATATAGTATGAAGTAAGGCTCTCAGCTGAAAAAGTCGAGGGAGGGAAAGATGTGGGAAGTTTGAGAAAAGGTTTGGAGCAGCTCCTTTGTGGGTTGGAATAGAGAATCATTTAGAGAACAGTAAAAGAATTGCCTGGCTACAGTAAGGATTCTGTTGAAGTTAGATGTAAATTTGTAGTGAGCCCCATCTGTACGACTGAATAATTTTTCTCCTACGCTATTTGGCAGCTTGTGAATAGGAGAGAAGGTGGTGGATGGTGGAAATAATCCACAGCTGAAAGATATGATGAGGCAAGGGAACTTGAGATTTGAGAGTTAAGAACAGTATAATATTGAACTAGTTAATTATAGGGTAAAGACTGGAAATTGAAGGACAAACTTTCAGGAGCCAAGATGGTGGAGTAAGCAGTAAGTCGCTCTCACTCTCCCTTATTGACCTCTAAAAACCCAGAAAATATTGTCCCAGGAAAAATCTTGGAATAGTGGAGCCACAGAAAGACGGGTTGCAGCAGTCTTTTAGCCCAGGAGGCTTAAGTGATTAATAGAAAAAGGTCCCTCTTGCTCTGGTGGAAGGGGAGCAGTACAGGATTAGAAGCGGCCTGGCAAGTCACAGAGAAGCCCTACCAGTACACCAGCAGGAGATCCTGAGCTCCAGGGTGGTGGAGCAGGCAAGCACTGGCACCAAGGCCCCCATGTGCCTTAGCACAACCAAAGGAACCAGCAGACTCCAGCTCAGAGAACCATCATGTGTGTTGGCAGGCAGATATCCTCCAGCTTCCAAACCTCCGAATGCTTCAGCTCAACCCCAGTCAGGCAGGTGTCCTCCACCAGTTGAACCTCCCTGTGCTTCAGCGAAGTCCGGTTGAGTGGGCTTCCTCCAGGTGCCAGACCCTCCCACCCCCACCCTGAAAGCTTCAGTGTGACCCCGGGGAAACACAGAAAAACCCCACCTGGCCTCAGGACATGCTAGCCACCACCACTAGGACCCCAGCTCAGGACCAGGTAAGCTGCAACACCCTTACGGCCTTCAGCTGCCACCACTTGAGGCCCCAGTACACAAAGCCAGTGACTAGTCCACTGGTCTCCAGCACAAGAAGTTTGGGACAGTGCTCACATGCTCCATCAGGAGAGCTCAGATAGGCAATCATCATGAACAAAAAAGCAGAAACAAACAGTGACTATAGATTCTTTCTATGGGGGCAGAGAAGATCAAAACATACATTCAGAAGAGGACAACATTGTCAATATACTCACATCTGAAACCTCAAAGGAGAATATGAACTAGCCTGAAGCCCAAAAAGCCTTCTTGGAAGAGCTCAAGAAGGATTTTAAAAGTCAAATAAGAGAGGTAGAAGAAAGATTGAGAAAAAGAAATGAGAGGTATGCAAGAGAGAGTCAACAGCTTGGAAAAGGAAGGACAAAAATTGATTATAGAAAACAATTCCTTAAAAAATACAATTGGCCAAATGGGAAAAAAGTATGCTGAAGGAAACAACTCCTTAAAAAGTAGAATTGGCCAAATAGAAAAGGAGGCACAAAAACTCACTGAAGAGAAGAACTTCTTAAAAAGTAGAATTGGCCAAATGGAAAAAGAGGTATAAAAGGTAACTGAAGAAAACAAATCATTAAAAATTAGAATTAGGCAAATGGAAGCTTAATGACTATGAGACATCAAGAATCAGTCAAACAAAATCAAAAGAATGAAAAAGTAGAAGAAAACATGAAATACCTCATTGGAAAAACAACTGACCTGGAAAATAAATCCAGGAGAGATAATTTAAGAATTATTGGTCTACCTGAAAGCCATGGTGAAAAAAAGATCCTGGACAGCATCTTTCAAGAAATTATGAAGGGAAACTGACCTGAGGTCCTAGAACCAAAGGGTAAAATAGTCATCAAAAGAATCTACTGCTCACCTCCTCAAAGAGATCCCAAAATGAAAACGCCAAGGAATATTGTAGCCAAATTCCTGAATTATCAGCTCAAGGAGAAAATACTGCAAGCAGCCAGAAAGAAACAATTTAAATGTCATGGAACCACGGTCAGGATTATGCAGGATCTTGCCTCTTCTACATTCAAAGATCAGAGTGCTTAGAATATGATATTCTGTAAGGCAAAGGAGCTTGGATTACAACCAAGGATCAACTACTGAGCGAAAATGAGCATAATCTTTCAGGGGAGAAGATGTACATTCAATAAAATAGGAGACTTCCAAGCCTTCTTGATGAAAAGACCTGAGATCAACAGAAAATTTGATCTTCAAATACAAGACTCAAGAGAGGCACAAAAAGGTAAACAGGAAAAAAACAAAACCATGTTATTCAATAAGGGCATTCCTACATGGGAAGAGGATACTTGTAACTCTTGAGAACTGTATCTTTATTACGACAGTTAGAATGGGTATACATAGACAGAGGGCATGGGTATAAGCTGACTTTGACTTGATGATAAAAAATTTAATTAAGTGGTGAAAAGGAATTGTACTGGGAGAAGAGGAAAGGAGGAGGCAGAAAAGGGTAAATTATATCACATGAAGAGTCACAAAGACCTGTTACAATAGAAGGAGAGAAGGGAGGGAGAGGAGAATTGTTTGAACCTTATTCTCATCAGATTTGGCTCAAAGAGGGAATAACATACTCAATTAGGTATAGAAATCTAACTTACCCTATAGGAAGTAGGAGGGGAAAGGGGAAAGAAAAGGGAGGG